TAGGTATATATCTTGTCTTTAATCATATGACTTTGGCGACAGAATTATTATGTTATGTCTCCCATTTACGTTCAAGTCTTAAAAAATTTATTGTTTTATATTGCAAACATTTGTCTAATTTAAAATGTAGTTTCTACAGCATAATTTACAGTTACTATTTCATGAAACCTAAAATATTTTGCTTCTGTTTAAGTGGTATTAAATATTTATAGTTTACTGAACTGAATTCACGATTTGGAGTTTTTTATCAATAATTTTAACAATCAGTTCATCAACTTTTACTTGAATATGTAGTGACCGATGACTCAGTTGTGGATTAATTTATTAGTTAATACAAAATTACAGATCATCTTCGTAAAATACGAAAACTCCACATTAAATACTTTATTCACATATGTTTTATCAACTGTCTCTTACAAACCTCATCGTTTCTCCATTCCTGTTGTTGCTACAATTACTCACCGTTTACATTTCTGTTCTCTTCAATTCGATTTTTTCCATCTTTTGCTGCCAGGTATTCCACTTCTGACTAGTGTTACATATTACTTATATCTGTTAACATAAGTAGCGAATACCACAAGTATACCAATTAGCCATAACTGGTTACTTCACTCATTAAATAAGCAGTGTGGTTTTATACATTTCTGATCTTATGTACTTGTACAAACATATCCATAGTAAAGCTCAATATCATTCTATTATTTAACGTCCAAACTTTTGATTTTACGTTACAATTTATAATAACCATATCAAAAAACATTAAGTAGATTAGAATGATATTCAATGTCTTGATGATATTTTTCAGATGCTTTTTTTGTAGAGGTACATTGAAATCAATATAAAAAACAAACTAATTTGGAAATGGAAATTCGTAAATGAATTTGTCATCCATTATACCAAGTTACTCTACTAAAAACACTATTTATTCATAGATCTTGTGGTTTCAAATGAACTTAATATAAAAACCAGTGACCAGTATAGTTCAACCGTGTCTGCTGTGAGTTAGCAACTCACTAAAAACAGTAGTGGACGGTGGTGCAATTTCGTAGATTAGTTGAAGTTAGACATTGGATACTTGCCAGCTCAGTGGTCTAGAGGCTAAACGTTCGCGTACGAGATTGATAGGTCTTGAATTCAAATCTGGTGAGGTGGAGATCGCGGATGCGCACTGTCGAGGAGTCCCATACTAGAACGGAACAACCGTCCAGTGTTTCCAGGTTTTCCATGAATTCAGTTCTTAAATAATAACAATAATTTTATTTCAAAGGATTCATATTTCTTAAAAAACGTTTTTGAAATATCCTGATTCACAAACTAAAAAGTTGAACTTTAAATAAATCCTACCTTCAATATATTAGATATCATATGTATGTTAAGAAAAACAACATTCGAACACCTTTTTTTAAATATATTTTTCTAACATTTAATAAATGTTAGTTAAGTATGCGTATAATCTATGTGTGTTTAGTTGGTTTTCTCTTGTTTACATATTTTATTGTTTATTCTTTTTTCTTTTAGTCAATGTATATTATTTTATATGACATGAAATAATGAATTTTCTATCATTTTCACTACTTCAAAGAGTTTTGTTTAACTAAAAAAAATAAAAACTTTCAAAATATTTTTGTGTATATTAAGGATAAAGTACAATATTCCAATTGAAGTAAACATTGAAGGTATTCAATAACTATGTATATATATATATATATATAAATAATTTATATTTCGAACTTTTATAAATAATGATACTAAAGAAAATAATTTAACAAACTTGACTTGAATATCAAATATGCGATATAGATCAATTATTTTCGAATGAATTTTAAAATGATGGAACCCTTAAATGTTGAATAGTATAATGAATTCAATTCACTGGTTGAATTCATGAGTCAATTGAAGCTAGACCAACATGAAAAACCTGGAAGCACTAGACGGTCGTTTCGTCACAGCATGTGACTTCTCAGCAGTGCACATCCATGATCCCGCACCCCACGTGACATTAACACCATTGGATGCTAGCCGGCTCAGTGGTCTAGTTGGTTAGAGTCCCATACTAGGACGAAACGGCCGTCCAGTGCTTTCAGTTTTTCCATGGTGGTCTAGTTTCAAACGACTCATGATTTCAACCAATGAAATTTCTAAAAAAATCTCTACAAAACCTATTCTGATAAGAATTCAATTCAATTTATAATGTGTATATGTATATGTATAATTTTTGAAGAGATTTTCATAAATGATCATACTGAACAATGAAATAAAAATGAACAAATCAGATAAAAGAGAAAATTAAATAGTAGGTTTCATTTACTAAAATTTTAAAGAATTGAGGAAACTTAATTTTCTCCAAGATACAATTGATGACACATCGTAACTTATAAATTATCGATTACAAAAATTATGATTTACGGTGTTCTAAATAACCATTTCATATAATATTTGTATCATATTGTGCTCAACTTAAAAGTCAATGACGTTTAAAGTAAAACTTTCATGTTATTTATAAGATTAAAGTTCTGTGAATTGTCAGTTGAAATGACAGTGCATTCCTATATATTGGTTTCACGAAGAAATAATGAAAAAACTATCGCTCAAGGCTTTTCTTTGTCTTGATGATGAAAAATTAATGTGCTGTCAATGGCTTACAGTTACTTTTCATCACTGGACAATGCTATAATAGAACTTTATGAGATGAATACTAAAAAGAAAATATGACTTCACCATGTCAGATAAAAAGTAAAAATTCTGATTGGGAAATATCTGTTGGGATCTTCCAACGTAATAAACAGTTTGAATTCTTAAAAATCATAGCAAACAGAAAAAAGTATTGTATTACAGTTAACAAGTGCGGCAGTTAGTTTGTTAATTAAATGTAACGCTGTGGATAATTGAGTGTATAACGGATGTTTACAGGAGTTTGATTAATTATTTAGTAACAAAATCTGTTATTGTTTAAAAGATTTAATAAAGCATCTTTGCAAAGATTAGCAATTGAACATCCTTCTTGAAATGTTTTTCTATAACCAATTAATAATTAATGATTTCTCAGAATGCATGCGTACAAAACTAGTATTAGGGTACACTATTTCAAAGAATTAATTTCCAAACAAACAAATATCAGGGCAAAGTTATCTGCTGTCAAACGATGTCTTTTATGAGCTTAATATGATATTAACAACATTTTTATTTATGTCTATTTGTAACAAATCATTTTTGTTTTATCCCCTATTTAGTTATGCAACCTATACTTAGAATTGTCAATATCTAAAAAATAAATCAGACACTAGAAAACGTTCACATATTTCAGATATCTTAAAATATCATTACTATTACTTACGACACGGTATTTAGTGTTTTGTTTTAAATAACTTTAACGTAGAAATAAAGAGATATTAATTTGTTTAATTTCTTACTTGCATAGCAAACTAGATGTTTGTTAGCAACAATATTTTTATTGATGAAAGCTATATCTTTTGGAAATGTATCACAGAATATTTTATTAAGGAAACTGTAGCAGAAAATTTCAGTTTCTACCTAAACTTTTGAAACGTATCACTTGATTGAAATTGCTTACATGGCAACATATATCTACTAGAGAGTTAGTCAATGAATGGTCTATAAAAATTTTTTTAGTATCAAACTTTCCATAATTAAAAAAAAAGATTGATTAATATTTATGCACTTTTATCAAATTCGGTAATGCACTAAACAAACTTTTTCGTAATGACTACGAAATTCAATGAAGTAAGTACTAACAATAGTATCAACACAAGGGATAATGTACTGTAAAATCTGAACGAATGAATTTGAAGTAAATCCAACGTTTCACCTGACAATCTGCTCCAAGCTTTATCAAGAAATTATAATCAAAAATCAAAATTATACAAGTACATTCTTCTTCATTAATGTCTCACATCAACTTGGCACCCAAATACTGTGAATTAAATTTAGACGAAAGATCTTATATATGTAATGAAAATTATTGGAGGTTAGAGTTTTACTTAAACTATTTCATCTTACATGTGTCAACAGTTGAATAAATTAAATCCAACTTTATGATTCGACTTATATATTAAAACAAGCATAATGTGTTTATGGAGATATTTTGAAGAAATTTTGCAAATCGATTATTCTCAAAATGTCTATTTCTTTAATTTAAGCTTATTCACTGGCATTTTCTATTGTTTATTAAGTCATCGACGTATTTGGACTTGAAATGAGGTTACATTTCAAGGCTTTTATTCAAGACAGTTTTGATGAATGCATTAGCATTTTAGTTTCTCTGTAAACATCATCTTTGAATCATATAGATACTGTAATTTAATAATAACTTAATATCGCAAATTTTTTTAAAAACTAAATTACGTCAATTTAATAAATACGATATGAACGTTATTAATAATGAAACACATCTATTTTCATTTATGACGTTAGTACTAAATGAGTAACGAAGAAAGAAAACACACAAATCGCAAGCTAATTCTATACTATTCTACACTATACATTTTAAATTGTCAACTTATAATGCTTTATACGAAAACTTGCTGGTAAAGTATTCCCTGTTGAATTTTAGCTGTATTACAAAGTGAGATTTTGCTTAAAAAGAAAAAAACATTAGAAACATATAACCAACTTCACTAACAACTGTGGTTAATATATCATTCTAATTAACAATTACCACTGATACCATGTTTTTAATTTTGTAGGCGATATTATTTACTGTCAAATCATTAGACAATTATTATATTTTAAAATATTGTTTAATAATACGAATGTAAATAAAATAAATTCATTATAAAATTAAAGTATATATGCGTAAACATTCATTATTAATGTTACCAAGCAACCAAATAAATGTTGTAACCATTGAAGTTTCTTGAAAAATATACATTTGTTCATTGTAAACAATCAACAATATGCAAGGTATTCTATCGGCTTTTTATCCGATAAATTCTGTATAGTATTGTAACATCTCGCTTAATTTTAATGTGTGTTTTAATCAGATTTGAATATAATTATGGATGGGCACGGAGTAGAAAATTTCTAAAACAGCTGGTTAAAGACAATATTGATTTGTCTCTAGTGGAATATGAAATATTACGGCATACGAAAAATAAAAGGCCAAAAACGTAAGTTGTTCGTTTGTTTGTGTGTATATGTGTATTAATGCTGGTTTTCATTGTTTATTTTTGTTTTCATTATTATTTCAAATGGTGAAGATTTTGTTTCTCTCAACGGAAGTTTTATTCCTTATTCATATTAATGATCTGTTGAGCCGATACTGATACTGTAGTACTTAGGTACTTTTCAAAATAATCGCGGATAAGTATTTAGAATGATAAACATATCCATCTCTTTTTATTAAGTAGGTTTAAGTGAGCATTATCTACTTTCAGAGATAAAACCCATTGAGGATATAAGCCACTGACGTATTCATGCAAGTTGATTGTGAACATTTTTGGTACCGTTTGAATAAAATGAAAGGTATTTTGTCTCAGTCATTTAAGGATTTGAAAAATAAATTGTCTGGCTTAATGTAAAAAAGCCCATTTGTTTAACTGATATTTCATTATCAAAAGCGTTTACGTGCGAACGTTTAAAGAAGTTATCCTCAAAAGTAAAAAGAGACAGTAAAGTAGGTCCGATATTGTAAAGGATAACAAAAGGCATGTCATCCGACTTTAACAACTTCTTATGGTTGTTCCGATATATTTACCTAAACATATACATGTGGTACATAGTGAAATTTTCCATTATCGGAAATTAAAGATCCGTTTTTATTTTGATCTCGTTCTGAAATAATTACCATGAGGATTTCGAAATAAGGTTATTTAGCTTGGACACATCGTGGTTATTTTTAGGATGTTGCTCGTATTGAAACATTGAAACTAGATGAATAGTTTGGGTTCATATCACGTGTATGAATAGGAGTAAACTAAAACCAGAGTCAGATGAACTGATTATTTTAAACTGAGTTGTATACTTCAATGGAATATTATAACATAAATGTGGGTTAATAATAAGAACGTAGCACATTATTTGAACAATTAGTTTCCTTCTTGATGAAACCGAGAGAGATTTTGTATGGTTAGTTCAGTAACCATGTCAGATGTTTAGAAGGACTGCATCTTATTACTAACTTCTGAATCAAGTAGTGATATTCGAACCTGATATTGTTTATAATTCAAGTGCATTATTCTAATGGATTTTATGTAAGATGAGTAATATTAATTGGTGTTATTTGTCGTTTAGATCAAATTTTACACAAATACGACAGGTTGCTAAATTCTTTTTAGCTATATTATACGTGTTATTTCTATTATACCATCAAACAAATGGTTATATAAATTTTTGTTGTCTTACAAAGTTATCATGAAATAATACCTGCTTTAATATGTATTAATTTCACTTTCGTAAAAGTAAACAAATTTATATTTTAGGCAGTTAGCATCATAGGGCTTCAAAATGATATACATAGAATAATCAAATAAGGAGCATAAATGATGGGAATGGTTCACAGTGTTTTGTGACATTGTTTTAGGTTCCAGTAACTGATATTAATATTTCAGTTATCCTGGAGTGCATAACTTACACCCAGCTTGTTTGATTATCTAAAAATAGCTATCATCGGACTATAATTCTAATGCAGAATACAAAAAACTGAATAAAACTTCAATGCTTTTATTGAAAATAATTGCTGTTTAATTTTCAAACCATCATCCTCAGCAGTCATGGAAGTAGCAACTTTTCAATAGATTAGTGAATGAAAAATTTGTATGGCGTTGTTTTTTATAAGGGACCTCGATTCTGAGTGAAATAGTATATATTATATGAATATTGTTGCGTATATCAGCAACAAATATATTATCTTTTCTTGTGAAGCAAAGATGAATATGCAAAGTGATTCCTCTTTTCAGAGACCTGTTAATGACAAAACTTTGGGCTATATCGATTTGTATCTATCAAATTACTTCTGCATATAATTCAGATTATGTCGGCCATAAAGAACAGTTCACTTTTTTTAACATACTTCCAAGCATTGTGCTGAGTGATTTTCCAAAAGTACATGCACTTTAGTTGACAGCTCTACTATTGAACACCTTATCTTTATCAATTTTTCAATAAAAACTTGATCTTTGCAATAAAGGTTGACTTATCTAATCAAGCCATCATAAGATATTTAATCACAATAGCAATCATTTTTAAAAGGGGTTTCATTGCAATTATGTTAATTTGTAGGTGATATTCGTCAAGAATCGTTCTTAGTTGATAAAATGTTTCGGTTCTATTCTACAGGAAACTTACTACTGTAATAAAAACACGATAAAATACATTTAAAACGGGCTGAAAAAGTAAAAGAAATCAAATATTAGATTGTGTAAAGTCATGTATTTGTAAAAAAATAAGTAAATTTTTCTTGTTCTTTGTGAAAACCAAGTCTTGCGTTTGATATCTAACGGCATCATAAGCAAACCCTTATAATAGAATAGGATGGTATTCTCTCGCCAACTGATTCTAATAGTACCTCAAATGACTTCAATTCACACACAAGTAGTCCGTTTTCGATTCTTTGTGATAACTGAACTTTTATTATATAATTCTCATTACTATTCTCTGCAATCTCATTTAATGCATTATTTACAGATCTTTAAAATAAACTTTATATTTGTGACTCGTTGTTTACATACACACTAATAAAACACTAATTAAGAAATTGTAATCTAGGTAAATAAACAGTTAACTAGTATAAATACTTCAAACATGGTTAAGGTTAATCATTTCCGATTCTATCAATATTTCTGTTCAAATTATAGTACAGAAATACAAGAAAATCTTCAAGCAAAAATAAAACTAATACACTTTTCAGTCTCCTTTTAATAGCTAAATAAACTGATTTAATAATAATGTAAAAAATGTGGGAATAGTCAGATGTAAGACGTTTATTTAAATGATTACTATCAAGTGAAGTGAATTTCAAACTTGTCTACAGATAGATAAGCAGTAGAAGGTTACTTTAACATGAAGACATAACAAAATCTACCTCAAGCTAAAAAGCAAAATAATTTATTCAAGACTGCCTTAGGGTATATAAGTGTTCAAATTTATTTTTTTATACAAACATTTGTTAATAATGTGGAGATTAAATACTTTTAATTCGTTTTTATATTGTTTGTTCAAATCTTCCTGGATTCATCTGCTAACCGTCATCCATCTATGCTTACTATGTACTTTTGCTAATTTAAGAAAAATGATATCAACACTCATTCACGTTAATCGAATTGTACTTAAAACTAAAATCCCTATAAAATTTATTGATAAAGGTAAAGTTTGAAAATTATTTGTTGTAACAAAATATATTCAGTTTAGGGGTTGTGGAGATTGTTAAGTTTTTGATTGGAATCATGAACCGATTGATGTTGGAGCACCTTTGAAAACCTGGAAGCACTGGACGACCGTTTCGTCCTATTGTGGGACTCCTCAGCAGTGCGCATCCACGATTCCGCTCGCGAGATTCAAACCCAGGGCCTTCAGTCTTGCGCGTGAACGCTTAACCAACTGGACCACTGAACCGGCAAACAATGGTGTTAATGTCTAACCTCAACCAATCCACGAAGTTGCGTGACCATCTTCCATTGTACTGGGGTAGACACCTGTTTCTACAAGACACGGATTAGTCTACTAATCACGGCTTCTCACCAAGACTCCGAGAATTTTCTCATGAAGTTAGTCACTAGTAGGTGGAAAAAAGGCCCAGTGGTCCAGTGGATTAAGCGTTCGCGCACGGGACTGAAGGCCCTGGGTTCGAATCCCTCGAGCAGGGTCGGAGATGTGCACTGCTGAGGAGTCTCACGAAAGGGCGAAACGGTCGTCCATTGCTCCTGGGTTTTCGATGGTGGTCTAACATCAATCGGTTCATGATCTCAATCAAAAAGTATTTTCGTTAGCACGATGAATACATTTTTCTATGCTTTATCATGTGTGGACACAAAATAACGAGAACTGCTTGTGTATTCTGTTTATTTTCTCTAATATATTTTGAAAATGCAAAAAACGGAAATATTTATAAGTATTGATTTATTATTGCCAGAGAATCAACCAGTGAATGTACAAATCTGTATTAATTCCGGAATTATTTAACTACAGCAACATTCCTAATGACAATCAGAGCTGCGAAATTATATGGTGCATGAACAAAACTGACTTGAGAAACTATTTTTGAAAGATGTAGACAGAGATGAATGATAGCTAGCAGTGAAATCCAGGACATTAGCGCTAGATTTACTTGTATTCCGAAGTTAACTCTCACTTCGAGAATCGAACATAATATTGTTTACTTGAAGCATCATTGCTTTATCCACCTAACCGCTGAGTCCAGATTGCCACTGACTTGTACAACAGGGTGAATTTTAATTTATTTATTGGTTGTCTGAGTACCTCTACTGATGTTCGGGACTGAAATTGATCGGTCTCTTTTTGGCTATGTGCATTCAGTGAGAATCATTTGTGCTACTAAGTTATCGCTATGGTTCTATCATATTAATTGATCACATGATTCAGTGCTATTTCATTACCTTCATCTTCAATTCATGATAGGGCTTATAATGTTATACACCAAATCCATCTAGAATATACAAAAAATGTCAAAAGCTCTAATGTAAATAAATTTCATTACTTAGTTTTCTTACGTACTCTCATTCAGGAAAGTAACATAGTAAACTGGTTGCATTCAATAATAAAGTTTCTTTACAAGCAGACCTTAGGCTTTTGTTTCTCATGTACTGACAACAATAACAGCTGTCGAAATATTCACCGACTTAATAAATACTGGGATGAGGTGAGTTGTATTTTCAAAAATTTGTTTGTCCTTGATCATAGTTAACTGAATAAGTATCATCTAAAGAACACATGATATGTTAAAGCTGTCAGTGGAAAAATATAATAGTAAAAAATTTTATAATAGTTGAATAGAAAGTATATCTAAGAAACATATATATATGATGTTGAAAGTCTCATGTGTTCCTCAGCTTCTACGGGGACAATCATTCGAAGTTCAAAGCTGAGCGCTCATTTATAAATCCAAGCACAGTGGATTTCAACCATGTCGGTTTCGAGGCAGTTATCCACCGAAGACAACAGATGGTCACGTAATGTCGTCGATTAGTTGAAGCTGGACAGTAACATCTTTGGTTGGTTTAGAGGTTTAGCGTTTGCGACGGTGTGGGGGATAAAGGATGCTCACTGTGGAAGAGTTCTATACTAGGACCAAACTGCCGTCCAATATTTCCTTGTTTTCACTAGTGATACCGCATTGATCTTAATAAAAAGTCAACAAATATATAACTTTAAAGAATGATATCATCGAAAAAACTTTTTCTTCCTCGAATACTGTTCATATTCATAGTCGTTACCATATAGTGTTCATTACTATTATTGTATAATGAAAAGTAAAATACACAGACTTCTTTGAAATTCATCTCATATTTATATCATCATTTCAACCTGGTCAATAAAATTTAACATATTTTCAACAATTCTATTTGTTTTAATTACTCTTTACTACCAGTTCAAATTTCATAAATTTACAAAGATCAACCATAAATATTAGATTAAACTCAAACCAAATATACTAAAATATTCTTTTTATAGTATTATAATTAAGAATAAATTGACAGAATTATACAAAGCACATTGGAGATCCAAATGTTATAATGATGAAGTTTTTATAGGACGATTTTTTGAAACCATCTACGTATAATTGAGATATCATTATACAGATAGATAGATAGATATACATATTTTATGAAACTGAATAAAGTTTGACTTATCTGATTGTAACTTTTTTAGGTCTTCATGAATTTGTCATGATTGAGACACATAATCAATCAATCCCATAAAACAATAACAAAAAATGTTTTCTTAGTCGTACAGATTTAGTAGATAAATTAAATGTCATTCTTAAGTGATAATGATTTTTTTCTTAAATGTTTTAATATAGTAAGCTGTTTTTTTAATTGCATCTAGAGAATTTATGAATGAATCAACCAGGTATAAGATAACAGGTCTTGGATTTTGACGTGAAATTTACTTATCCACTTGGCTTAATAGACTCTTGGCATTACAAATGATGTTAGTTTGTGATGAAAACCCTAAATCTAATTCTTAAACTTAACCATCAACTGTAAATCATAATTCAAATTCCTTACACTAATTTATAACACTCATTTGGTCATAGTTATCTTGTGGACGCACTCAGGGTCAGTTTAGCGTCGCTTAAAGGTCACCGATTGATGTTAGAACACTAATAAAAACCTGGAAGTACTGAACGGCAGTTTCGTTTTATTGTTGGACTCCTCAGCAGTGAGCATTCACGATTCCGCTCGCGGGATTCAAACCCAGGTCTGTCCAGTGCTTCAACATTTTCACTGGTGGTCCAATATCAATCGGTTCATGATCTCGATCAAAAACCTAATAATCTCTACAATCCCATACTGAAAATAATACTATATTGAATTATATTAGTTCTTTTATGAATAGGTCATATTTTCTTCAACGATCATACATTGATAGTACCGATGTTTATCATCTTACTATTATAATATATATAGTAAACTGAATTTTAGATTTTTGTTGAAATGAAAAAAGAACGTATTAATTTTTCGTTACTAACTAATTTACATATAAATTACTAAATATTCTAAGGTGAATATTTCTTGTACCTAAAATATCTCAATTTGGAATCCGAGATTTAGGAAAAAATAAATTTAAGAAAATTATATATATATATATATATATATATATATATATATATATATATATATATGTAGTTGTTGAAGTAACGTGAATTGTTAGGATGTCAGTAGTATCTGATAATCAGTTAAAACATTAGTTCTGAGTGAATGATGTGATCAATATAGACATTATTCTTTGCTGGGTAGTGAAGCCTAAGTAAAATAACGTGATTATGATTTTAGTAGAAATGTTGTTCTGTGGTAAATTTAACCATATAACTTATAAAACAAGCAGAAAGTAATAGAAATGTTTAGGAAAATAAATACTAGTCTGGCAAAATAATAAATAAATTGGTATGTACTTGCAGTAAATTCTATTTTTCCTTGTCCAATAAAGTTTCTTTTTAACATGACGTTAAGTAGTAGAATAACAATGCTAAAAAACACTAGACCAGTGTTTCATATTACATTTTATTGGTTAGAAGGATGTATCTTTAACCCTGAGATTGCATTCTATATCTTGCTGCTCAACTAGATGAGTTGTTGTGATCGATTCTTAGTTTATGAATTTATAGTATAATTATGCGGTTGTTTTAATATAGATAACTAATTATATATCTTGTTCACTATATGCATTATTTGTTCAGAAAAATCTTTGGATTGGAAAAGCAATCAAGAAGAAAGAATCATATTATAATATAGAATATATAGAGTGTAACTAGCTATGGAGTCCAAGACGGGCTTCCTGCCCAAATTGGGACTCATCAGTTGGATGTACCTAGATTGTAGATTGTATGTTCACTGCGGGATTCGAACCCAGTACCGTTTACTTCAAACGCTATCGCGTTATCCACTTACCTACTGAGTCGAACAAAGGGATAATTCAAATCATTCCAAACTGAATTAAATCATGTTATAATTTTATGTATTGAAGTAATAAAATAAGGTGTTTTCTCTTGTAAAATTAGACAAAATATGTGTATTTGTATTGCAAAAAGCTATAATTGGAAACAAATCTTTCCGATTAGTAAGGAATATTATGACGAAATACATTGTTCTAAAGAAAAACTTTTGTAGAAGAAATACGATTTGGGAAATAAACTTTCTGAAACTCTTTTGGGTTACTGTATGTTTATTGATGGACATAATCAACAGAAACTTGAAAATATGTGGAAGGGACCGTCAGTAAATAAAAAGCTTAATTTTAGTGAATTAACGTAAAACTCTCAAGTATCATTCAAATAAATACGTAAAAGCCCAAAAATAACCAATCTCAATTGTAATGAATGAAACGCTTGCTATAAAATGTGCAGTGGATGATCTGATGTTGTTTCATGAGATTCCAAAAAAGATTTGAAAATTTACAGTTGAAGTCATGTCAGATACATGATCAATTTTTTCATCTTTTGAAGGATATTTACCCACTCATATGAACTTTATTCCAAATGCATTATTCAAAAATTTATATTGAAATTTTTAATTGCGCATTTTTATTACAATTTAAAAATTAATATTTTCGATCTTATTTTTTTCATGAGCAGGTGGAAACAGTATTTCCTAGTTTGCCTTCGGAGTAACATTCTACAAGTATTAATGTCTTTATTAGTATTACTTGATGCAGGGATTGTAATCAGTGAAATAGTTTTGGAAATACAATCACTTCAAAGTAAGTTAAACAGTATTATAATCGATATATATATAAATATATATCATCCAAACTATTCATGGAATGTTAATAGTTATGATAATAAAACTTGATCCTTTCCGATCATAATCTAGAGCATTCATATAATTAGGTAATTTTTATTTTTTTTCCGGTATATAAGGCTGTTGCAATAGACTTGTAGTCAGTTTTAAGTATTGCACGAAGTTTTCTACTGAAAATGACACTTAATTGACACTTAATATTAATGTGTATTAAAATGAAACTTGATGTTCAGTTTTAAATATAAATCCTATACAATCAAGTTTAATCGCCACTTCCATAGTACTGAATTTTTCTCTGATAACATTTCTTGTCTTTTAGTCTTAAAATAATTCAGGAAATTTTCTTTCGTACTCAACCGTTTTAATTTGCTGAATAAATTATCAAAGACTGATGTAAATTTATTTCTTAGAACTCACAATTAAACAAGTAAATACATTTTGTTATAAAACTAGTGGTTAGACATGATAGGGGGTAATATGGAAGTACACTTCACTTATTACCTAGATTACTTGATAGTAATCTATGATACTGAGAGGACGCCACACGGATGAACTTGATGAAGCTCTAAGAAGCTCAGAAAGAGCTGAAGATATTCCATCCAATCATTTTTTTTGAAGAATATTCCAGAATCAATACATGTAGCTTCCCTATTGGACAAACGCTAAAAACCCCCTGTATGAGGATTGGAGGACTATAATGATGATTTCGTTTTTAATTGATGAAAAATTCCCATTATATTAAAAACACAATTGTATGAACGAAGAATATTCTTTTCAATAATTTCTCATCAGGTTTTCGTTTTTACTAAAAACTATAAATACCTGATAGTTTTGTACCATAATTGACACTGTTTGGAATAGCATCCCTTTCGCTTGTTTTCTGTCTTCTTATTTGCGACTCGAGAGTGTTCTAGCGTTCGAGTGCTTAAGTTATACGCGGTATATAAGGAATCTAAGTTTTAGATATAACGGGTATAATGTCTCTCTTAGCAATTATTCAATTATAAGATCATAATAAATATACAAATCTTAAATAAAATGAAACGCGCGTCCTGGGTTCTACTAACAGCCACATTCCGTCTATTTCATATGAAATGTAAACAATGTATTTTTTATTTATCATTACAATATGTCTGATTGTTGGTCAATGAATAATTGACAAATAAGTATCATATATGTTCGACATGGTGTATTTTTCAATAGTTTGATTTTAGATATCACTACTAAAATATCAAATGACATTTTCCATTTTGAAGATGTATATGCATTACATTGTATGCCTTCTTGTTCTATACGTACTTTCCTTAGAAGTTTCCTAATGTTGCAATTATTTTCCCTCACTCATCTACTTATTATAATTTTCTAGCGTACAAAAGTAATTTTCGCACACAGCTTGAAGAATTCCGTGATATTATATGCACTGTTATGTATAGAACTGCACCTGAAATGGAACTTCCTTTCCAATGTTATTCAGATGAACGGGAACTGCATTTCAGAAAATCTAGTAAAAAACTAAATTTCACATATTATAACAAAGTTATGCAAAATCAAACTACTCCAGTTGAACATGCGAGTCAAGTAAAAATCTATACTGAAGAATCAAATTATACAAATCCAAGCCCTAGAATACAGAACACACATCATTTTCATCTTAACAATCACCTCGAGAAAGATGATGAATTATTGATGGATATGTGTAGCTTCCTTTCTCATTGGTACCAAAAGTACGAACCATCTATAAAATGTTTTTTGAGTAGTGGTAAGTAATGAAAAAAACCAAGAACATATTTTATACTTAACGCTTCATTTTAACTTAAAATGTGGGATCATTCCAGTTTATAGAGATAAGATCTCACGAAAACAAAAAAATTAATGTTAAGTAGTACGTAACAAAATCACTAGCCTAGGTGACCAAAGACATAACTCTGTGATCAAGTTATTTTTGTAACCCTGAAACTGTTGAATGATGGCGACAGGAAATACTGCGATTTTGAACTAAACCAAATGGGAAGATAAAATCTGATAAAGCAAAATCTCAACTTTTCGTCCATTCTGTCATTTGTCAAAAAAGCACAAACAAAAATTTTTAGGAAAATGTGAATATTGTGGAACGTGTATTCGAAAAATTAAAAAATATATCCATTTGCAAATATAATGGCTTCTAAGGAATCTGATTGTTCAGTTTCCAGTTTCCTTACATATTCTCATATTTAGCTTGTGTTTTAGGAACAGAATCAGTGGTCTACAAGTGGTAAAAGAAAAGTGGATAAAATTTGACTTCAGATGAAGTAAATTCAACCCGACCGACTGGCTATACGTTTTTTAAAGAAGTTTTCAAAAACATCGTAGCTCGTGTAGTTCTTTGTAATATTCTTAGATATGAACTAATTAAGCACAGCATTCCCGACAAACTATGTTTTTGTCACTTTCACTCCAAATATTTGAACTAACATTCTTTACCAACATTAAGTATTCTTCCCACCTAAGAGGCTAACAGCTGTAGGGTTTATATTACACTTACTTTGGGATATCTTTTAATATTAACCAGCTTTGATATAAGATATGTATTTTTCACCATTACACATCTAACCGGTGAATTTTATAAGATATGAAGAACGATACACGTACGTCGTTAAAAAATCACGATCTGTGTATCTACTTTAATATAATACTTATCTTTGCCTTTGAACTTAACAACCATCTGTCTTGTGCATGGACGCTTAACCTCTAAACCGAAGACCCTGGGTTCTAGTCCATCGTGTGAGAACATGGATGCACTCTGTTGATGTGTCCCATACTAGAACAAAACGGCCTTCCAATGCTTCCAGGTTTTCAAATGGTGATCTGGCTTAGTTCGACTAATGAATTCGACTATTGAAGTCAATGTAGACATGAATCGATACCTGATATGATAATGTTTTAATAATAATAATTTATAATGAAAGTTAGTTATTTGGTCTGAAGTGTGTTGTGATTGAGGCATATGAAGAGGTGTCTGTTTCATTTTTATTGAAACTCAGTGAGTCATTATAGATAAGACTATAGTTAGTAACATCTTGACCGTTGGGTTCACCGTAAGATCTTAAAGTAGAATGGAACAAATTGATTATGTTGAAGTGTTTATATAAAAAATGAAAACAAGGGTTCAAATAGTGTTGTTTTATTTTTTAAGCAGTGATGGAAGGTAGTTAACAGTGAAATATAGTACGCGTGTTCCTCCTTATTTAAGACATGTACAATTCTAAACATCAATGTGAAAATTCAAATAATCAATTTGTAAGTATAAATTGATATATTATCATTAACGATATTCAACGCCGATCGATGCAATAATAAATCGCTTCACTGAATTATTTTAAAGAAGCTTAGTAAATAATTAAAAACTGATACCATCAATTAATGTCTAGAATTGATCTATAATTTATAGAACAATGTTATTTTTTATGGAGTTTTCTCTTTTTTCTTTCCCCTTTTCTATAATAGAAATGAATAGTATCATTCGGCGTATATTTTCAAATTTAATGCCAATCAATGCCACAGTAAATTTAACTGAAACAAAGAATCAGACAAGTATCTATTTAAATGATAAACCAAGAATTTTTCAATCAGGAAGTCAAACAGATTTACATACTATAATCCCATTTTTGTTTTCTACTATAAATAGTACTACTTTTTATGAACATACAGATGGAAATGAATTAATTTCTCATGATGATAATGTACATAATGAAGGATTTTGTGGAGATTCATATTTAAAAAGACGTCAGCTCGGCGCAAGAGCAATGCATGAAGCTTCAGAAATTTTGCATTATTTAAGCATTGCTATCACAGCCTTATTCTTTTTGTGTGTAATATTGAAATTAATTTGTATTGGGAAGGAATTTTTTCGGGATACAAATGAAGTAAGTCTATTCATTAGATATTTAAAATGTTTTCTAATTACTTGATTCTTATGTTGTTGAATTGACGTTAATACATTCTTGTTATGCAATTTAACGTCTTACATAAGTGAAAAACTGAAGTTTATATTTTACTATTTAACAGCAAACTACACCCATGTAAGATTAATCAAATAATAAGCAAATTAATCTGAATTCTCATTTTGTAGATAATTTAAATCCTATCATTCGACTAGGATCATTAGTCAAATGATGTTTATAAAAGCCTCATTATCTCAATAGACTAATAACTAATTAGTCTATTTATCCAACTTTACATCACAAGTTAAAAATATGATAATCATCATTCTGAGTATGCTAGGTTACGGTAATTGGTTGGCAATATTTCTTTTTATATATGAAAACAAATATTACTCTAAATCATATTGCTGTTAGTAATTTCAGTTTACCGATTGATCAGTAACATTATGTTGATTAGATGAAGTAAAATTAATTATATATTTGATTGAATGTTATTGTATTTAGGGTGAAATGAGTGATACATTGATTTATACAGATAACAATTACAAAAAAGGTATCTATCTAGTTCATTAACATGTTCTTATCCTACTATAAATTAAAAAAAGACAATGATGTTAGTGTGATAGCAGTGTTTTCCAGGAGGTGTTACTATTTAATTTAATTACAAAATATGAATAAAATAACTTAGCATGTCATATTACGCAAGTAAGATGTTAGTTTTATGAAGCTTTTCATTTATGTGAAAATCAATGTTAATAAATCTTTCTCGTGCCGATAATTCATACAGTTATGTATAAAATAATATATCTATAATATCCTAATGGGTAGAAAAACCAAATTTTCTGATGTTTCGTGACTCAGTGTAAGTTACTTCTTCAGAGAATAAATAGCTAAATCAAAATTACTTACTTACTTACGCCTGTTACTCTGAATGGAGCATAGGCCACCGACCAGCATTCTCCAACCCACTCTGTCCTGGGCCTTCTTTTCTAGTTCCATCCAATTCTTGTTCATTTTTCTCATGTCTATTTCCATTTCCCGGCGTAATGTGTTCTTTGGTCTTCCTCTTTTCCTTTGGCCTTCAGGATTCCATGTGAGGGCTTGTCTTGTGACGCAGTTGGGTGCTTTCCTCAATGTGTGTCCTATCCACTTCCAGCGCTTCTTCCTGATTTCTTCCTCCGCTGGGATCTGGTTTGTTCTCTCCCACAGTACGTTGTTGCTAATAGTGTCCGGCCAACGGATCCGAAGTATTTTGCGTAGACAACTGTTAATAAACACCTGTATTTTCTGGATGATGGCTTTCGTAGTTCTCCAGGTTTCTGCCCCATACAGTAGAACTGTCTTGACATTTGTATTGAAAATCCTGACCTTGGTGTTGGTTGACAGTTGCTTTGAGTTCCAGATGTTTCTCAGTTGTAAATATGCTGCTCTTGCTTTGCCGATCCGCGCCTTCACATCTGCATCAGATCCACCCTGTTCATCAATGATGCTGCCCAAATATGTAAAGGTTTTTACATCTTCCAAATCTTCTCCGTCAATTGTGATTGGATTGGTGCATTCTGTGTTGTATCGGAGAATCCTGCTTTTCCCTTTGTGTATATTGAGACCTACTGCTGCTGAGGCTGCTGCCACACTGTTCGTCTTCTCCTGCATCTGTTGTTGCGTTTGGGATAGAAGGGCCAGATCATCTGCGAAGTCTAGATCGTCCAACTGCATCCTAGATGTCCATTGTATCCCGTGCTTCCCTTCAGACGTTGACGTCTTCATGATCCAGTCGATCACCAGGAGAAAGAGAAAGGGTGAGAGTAAGCAACCTTGCCTGACACCGGTCTTCACTTCGAACGACTTTGTCAACTGTCCTCCATGCACGATTTTGCAGTTTAATCCATCATAGGAATTCCGTATGATATTGACTATCTTCTGAGGCACGCCGTAGTGTCGAAGAAGTTTCCATAGTGTTGTTCTGTCCACGCTATCAAATGCCTTTTCGTAGTCAATGAAGTTGATGTAGAGTGATGAATTCCATTCAATTGATTGTTCCACAATGATCCGTAGAGTTGCGATTTGGTCTGTACACGATCTATCCTTACGGAATCCTGCCTGTTGGTCACGAAGTTGGGCGTCTACGCAGTCCTTCATCCTGTTTAACAATACCCTGTTGAAGACTTTTCCCGGTATTGAGAGAAGAGTGATGCCCCTGTAGTTATCACAGTTGCTGAGATCGCCTTTCTTCGGTATTTTGATCAGAAGTCCTTCTTTCCAGTCTGTTGGTACTTGTTCCTCATCCCAAATCTTATTGAAGAGAATGTGGAGTATCCTTGCAGTTGCCGCTACGTCTGCTTTTAGTGCCTCTGCTGGATGTTGTCCGGTCCTGCTGCTTTGCCACTCTTGATTTGTCTGATGGCCATGCTGATTTCTTCAATTGTTGGTGGGCCAACATTGATTGGGAGGTCCGTGGGTGCTGCTTCGATGTTGGGTGGGTTCAGTGGAGCTGGTCGATTCAAGAGTTCTTTGAAGTGTTCTACCCACCTGTTTTGTTGCTCTTCAATGTTGGTGATTACCTCGCCTTCCTTGCTTTTCACTGGTCGTTCTGGTTTGCGGCGATTTCCAGAGAGTTTCTTTGTCGTGTCATACAGTTGTCTCATGTTTCCTTCTCTTGCAGCCTTTTCCGCCGTCGTTGCTAAATCTTCCACATATTTACGTTTGTCGGTTCTGATGCTCCTCTTCACTTGTTTGTTTACTTCTGTGTATTCAGCTTGTGCCTTGGCTTTTTCTGCTCTTGTTCGACTGGTATTGATTGCTGCCTTCTTGTTCCTCCTTTCTTGAATCTTATCCAGTGTATCAACAGTGATCCATTCCTTGTGATGGTGCTTCTTGTGACCCAGGACCTCATGACATGTTGAAGTGATTGCCTCTTTGATCCCCTTCCAGTTGCTCTCCACAGTAGTTCCTTCTCCATTGAGTAGATCATGAAAGGCCTGGAACTTGTTGCTGAGGACTATCTTGAATTTGTTGAGTTTGTTAGTATCCTGAAGAAAGGCCGTATTGAACTTTTGTGATATTGTCCGCCCCGTTGTCCAGTGCTTCTTGAGTTTCAATTTCATCTTGGCGACCAGCAAGTGATGATCTGATGCTATATCAGCTCCTCTCTTGGTTCTCACGTCCTCTATAGTCCTCCTGAACGTTTTGTTGATGCAAATATGGTCGATTTGGTTTTGTGTAGTGTGATCCGGTGAAGTCCATGTGGTTTTGTGTATGCGTTTATGTGGGAATATGGTGCCGCCTATGACCAGCTTATTGAAGGCACATAGATTTGCAAATCTCTCACCATTTTCGTTTCTTTCTCCCAGTCCGTGTCGTCCCATGATGTCTTCATATCCAGTGTTGTCCGTTCCAACCTTGGCGTTGAAATCTCCCATCAGAATGGTCAGGTCCTTTGTTGGGCACTTCTCGACGATTGACTGCAGCCTATTGTAGAATTGATCTTTAGCGTCTTCATTGTAGTCGTTGGTAGGCGCATAGCATTGGATGATGTTCATTGAAATGCCCTCTTTCTTTGTTTTGAACGAGGCTTTGATGATCCTTGGTCCATGAGATTCCCATCCTATAAGCGCATTTTGCGCTTGTTTGGACAGCATCAATGCAACTCCTTGTGTATGTGGTGCATTTTCTTCTTCATGGCCGGAGTATAACAGGAGCTCTCCTGTAGTTAGTCGTTGTTGTCCAACTTGTGTCCAATGTGTTTCACTGATCCCAAGTACCTCTAGGTTGTATCTTCTCATTTCTGCAGCAATTTGGAAGGCTCTCCCGGTGTCCCACATTGTACGAACATTCCATGTACCTAAATAAATGGTCGCTCTGGTTGTCAGAAGGGGCATCGGCCTCGTAACTTCCGAAGGAATTCGGCTTTCATCATGAGGCGTCATAATTCTTCTAAATGAAGACCTTCTGACTCCCAGGGCAGAGTTTAAAAGGTTTGAATAATTTTTTCTGGTTAGCGTTTTTTTAGCGAGTTAGTTTTCTACGGGATGGGGACGCTAACCCCATGCCCAACCCTCCTCCTTTATCCGGGCTTGGGACCGGAAGTTGTTCCCGGAGGGACTCCGAGGAGAGTTAAATCAAAATTAGTCCAAGTTTAAATAGTACAAAACAACGACACAAGACTATTATGTGTGATCAATCAAAAGACAAGTCTAAACAAATGAATGTCATGTCATTTCTGTCAAGGTGAACCAGTTAAACAATAAAAACCCAGCTAAAATAAATACTCAGTATTGTTTATTTGATATTAATGAACAATTATATAATGATAATAAGAGTTAAATTGATATTTTCAAAGATATATTCTAAAACATAATACAATAAAACAATAAATTATTATCTAATATGGCACATCATAGGTTTCAATTTCTTAATGAAAGCTAAAACTCATGACAGATCGAAATTATGACAACCGGGTAAATGTGTATTTACTTACTATATGTTATTACTATATTGAACTGAAAAAAGTTAGACACTCAACAGATAATTTAAAACAGTGAATAATATATATATGTGCTCTGGATTAAAATCCAGTTGATTAATGAAGTCACAAAGGTGAAATAGATACATTTGGATTGATTACTTTTAGTACGATATCGCCGTTGTGTTATATTACGTCTTCAGGAATACTTTATGCATGATTGCTATTTTATAGATTTCAGTAAAGTACACATTTTAAAAAAATTATAAAAATTTCTTTTAACATCAATCATTCTACTGCATTCCCTTCTCTACTTCCATAATAGTTTCCTTAATGTTCACTTACTGTTGCTTAATATTAATTAAAAATAGTGGATTTCAAATATAATATTCATTCAAAAATATCAAATTCAACCGAGAAGAATCTTATCCAAAGGGTCATCACCTGACAATTAATGAGTTACAATATACGTCACCCGTATATCTTCCAAAAACAGTTCCACAGTTTGTTCAAATCATGA